CATAAGAAAGATAACCAAAGAACCCAGAAGCACAACAATCCCATTCGACAAGTCTTGAAATAAACAGCTGCTTTCATTCATAAGAAAGATAACCAAAGAACCCAGAAGCACAACAATCCCATTCGACAAGTCCACCACAAATACATTTGTAATTTCAGCCTTCTTAAATGTGGTCTGCGAAGCCGCCGTCCACATACAGTAGAAAGTCTGAGGCATGTTTTTTTCAAGATATGCGATCTAAGATTGACCTCGCCATTTTCGCACGTGCGTATTACAATGGAAACTGTGGTGTTCAATAATTGTGCATAATCATGGCCATCAGATTTCGCACGATGGAGGAAGTATTTCCAAAAGCACTACGGGTCCTAGAACATCGTTGTTATAACTTGAGTTTACCTGTCATGAATATTTAGCTATAAATAATTCGAACTAGAGTCAGAAGCTCAGGCTCAAGAACAGTCACGTGATTCCGTAACTAACATTATTATATCAGAATGAAAGGAACGCTGACAAATAAAAGATAAATGTAGGCATTTGCATGAACTATTTTGTTTTGATGATTGAATATGTATTAACGTCACAGAATGTCACTTCCAGTTTTGTTTTCGATTATGTATAATTCTCCTCGAGAACTACATGTTTACCTAGAATAGAGTATTTTGCTCAAGCTTTTCAGTAATGTTTCATTGTAATTACTTCGTACTTTTAACACATAAATGTATAGTATGTGATATAACTTGCCTTGCTATTGCTGATCGGAACTAACAACTAAAAATGTTGAAAATCAACAATAGGTTGTTTTTTTTGCATGGCAGTTGGCAACTCACTATTCTAATTTTTTTACTTTAATTTTAAACGTACTCGTTTATCTTACATGTGTATAAAATATGAAAGTCAAATCGTCATAAGCCGTTTAGAATAAGCACGACGATAGTTGTTCCAAGTGGCTATGTCTCACTTCGTGTAGCAGATGGATTATATTGAAATCTGAAATTTACTTTGTCGATAGGGAGAATTCAGAGACAGAATAATATATTATTTTCATTATTATCAA